CACCGCCGCGAACGCACCGGGGGTGCCGCCCGGTGCTGCCCTCACAGCGCGGCCGGCCGGCCCGCACCCCCGGCGGGGGTGTCACCGAGCGGGAGCGCGTGGCGGGCGAGGCGCGGGGGTGCCGCCCGGCGCGCGGCGGCGCGGCCTCCGCGCTTCCCGCCGCGCGGGGCGCGACGGGAGGTGTAGTCCCGCCGGGCGGTGAGGGCGGCGCGCCGGGGCGCCCCCCGGTGGTGGGGCGGGACCGGGGGGCGCAGGGACGGCAGCGACCCCCGGGGGGGACACGGAGACCGTGAGGGACTGAGGGTGGGCAGCGAGCCACGGGATGACAGCGAGCCCCTGAGGGCACACCGAGCCCCGGGCGCGGCCCAGCCCCTGCAGGCCGGGCGGGACGGGAGCGGGGGGGCGCCGTGAGGGGCCGGGAGTTATTTGTGTCAGGCGGCCTCGCTTCCTTCCTCCCGCTCTTCCTCTGCCTCAGGGGCCGCGCGTGGACGCGGGAGCGCGGCCAGAGGGTTATTTTAGTGCTGGCATCGCTCATCGCTCCGCGCCCACGGGACGGCGGTGGGCGGGAAGCGCCCGGGAACAGCGGCCCGAGGAGGAGGAGGAGGAGCGGGAGGAGGAGGAAGGCCCAGCGAGCGCACGAAGAACCTACCTCGGAGCAGGTGACACCAGTGGCACCTGGCTGCTGGGACATCGGAGCACGGGCTCCCCTGAGAGAAACCCCCCCCCCAAAGCAGCCGTGTCCCAATTCCCATGTGGAGCGCTCCCTCTGCCAATTAACTCTCTCCCAGGGGAGGAAATGAGAGGAGTTGCTTTTAATAGGACTTTGATCTCTCGGGCTCTGCTCAGGACGGCTCCTGGCGCTGGGAGCTCCAGCGGTGTGGGAAAGGGCACGCAGCATTCATGGGGCAAACACCATTTCACCTCTGCCAGCCCTGAACGACGTTAATAATAAACCTTAGGCCTGGTCTCTGCAGCTGGTTTGGGCAGGCAAATCACATTTTAAACTCCTATTTATACTGGTTTATGTTCTACTGCAGGCAGGCTTGTCCTGAGGTGATTTAGTAGCTTATTCCCAGGCATTTGCAGGAACACGTCACAGGATATCAGTTCCTTCTCACTCATCCAAGCACCCTCCATGGAAAGCTGGAGCACTGGAAGGATGCAGTTCCTGGTCAGCACACGAGCAGGTATTTCAGTATCTCCACACACACCCAACCAGAGCCAGCCAGCCATGAACCTGCTGGGAAATCCACTCAGTTATTGAGGAATCACACTGAAAACAGCACCAACCTGCACAGTGTGCAAAGGGATTTGGACGCCAGGGGCTCCAGTCCCTCATGGCTGGTGTTTGCTCCACTCCCTGGTGCTGACACTCTGTTCCAGCTGTTTCACACTTCGGCACAAGCCACGGGGAAACACTGAGGACACTCCAGCTGCTGTGCCCAGGCTGCATTTATTCCCACCTTGGCTAACATGTGCTGGTTTGCCCTCCTCATCCTCTGTGTCCCTCACCTTGTTCCGCACCTGGCTTTTCTCCAGGGTTTTGTAGAGACGAAAATTTTTTTTAAGTGTCTCCAAAATGAGAAATCCAAGTGGCCACTGCTGTGAAAACTGGAGAAGGTAATGATGGAGGTGGCACTGAACTCCTGGTAACAAAGTTTCACCTGGCATCAGTGACAGCCCAGTGAGCTTTCAAAAGTAACAAATTCAATGTATTAAAAGCTGTTACCACCAGAAATTTTACGTTCCCTAAGCATGAACAACTCAGAGGAAAGGGTCATTCTTCCCTTTCCACCTTCCAAAACAACCAGTGAGTGTTGGCCCACACCTCCCAAGCCACTACGTGGACACACAGCTTTTTGCCTCTGATAAATAATTAACATTTCCCTCTAAAACAGAGAAAATGAGCCTGAAAATGAGGACCAGAGGCAGGGGAGACGACGTCCCTTGGCAGCAGCAGCCTGGGCACATGTGACAGCCCTGTCACACCACGGTGCCACGTTAGCCTGAGAGGCAGAGGAGCAGAACACGCTCCCAACACACTCAGCTCCATCCTCTTCCTCCATCCCCTGAGCCCAGAACGCAGAGCCTCATGCAGAGTGTGGGTGACTCCAGTTGCTCTCCACTTTGGGGAGCTCAGGGACGCCTCTAGGAGTGTCTGTTTGTGTTTTCTGCTGTATATCCTACGTGGTACAACTCCAGGGCATTTGGGACCTGTTCTTCTTGATCCTGGGAGCCTTCCCGAGTGGGCAGGGACCTGCCTCCACAGTCAGGGCAAATACTGTGAAATACTGATATAAGTCAAGGTATAACTTCATGCAGCAGTTTTCCCCAAAATACAAGTTTGATTATTGAATTTTTATTTATCTTGGGAAGATGGCACCAGCAGTGGATTCTGGATTTCTACTCGCAATGAAACTTTGTGATTCGCTGTGGGGGTGGAGGTGACCCACAGGTCAGTGTGATTTGGGGAAGGGCAGCGTAGAGGGGCTGAGCCCCTGCTCTTGCCTGCTCCCTTCCCAGGGCCGAAGGTCAGGCTCAGACATCCCAGCCCTACTGCCCCCCGCCAATCTAAGCCCCGTGACAACCCTTCCTCGGCACCTGGAAGGACAAACCCGGGCAAGAAGCGGCGGAGGCGCCGCCAGACCCCTCCCCTGGCGGGGCCTCCGCTCGCCCCCACGGCCACCCCCGACGCGGAGCGGCCGCACACCGGCGGCTCCCGGGGGAGAGGCGGCGGAGGCGGGGGGACCCCGCGGCCCGGGCCTCGCCGCT